CTTTTCTTTTTCTTTTTTTTTTCTGAAAAGAGAAGTCATAGAAATAATATTCATCTAAATACTAATTTTACAATTTCATTAAATCACTCAAATGTTGGGAATGATTTAAGGTACACATTTCTATAAATAACGTTACCTAAAGTCATAAGTCGTCCATTATAAGCATTACCATATTTTGTAGTTTTTAACAACATAATTATGAGAGCATTTTGCATCCATAAAAATTTGGTAATGTTACTTTATCATTCATTAGATTTCTCTCATAAAACTGCAGGGTTTTTTTTTTTCTATCTAAAATTTGCAATGTAGGTTTGTTTCTAGTTTTACTCATATTCATGTATGGATTGCATTCATAGAATGTATTTCACAAATTTTTACAATTGCATACTGAAACACTTATAACACAATTACAGAAAATTCATATAACAAATAAAATACCAATAAAGAAAAATGTAAAGAGGCATATGCATCATACCTCAGGTACATTTCTTCTTACATCTTTAATATTTAATATTTCTCTATCATCTTTATGCACATACACAAAAGCGATTTAAGCCAAAAAGTTAGCATTGTAAATGCTGCGATAAGGAGGAAGTAAAACTTAACTGAATTAAAATAATAACCTAAAAACACATTATATAACAAGACCCCAAAATAGTATAACACCTGCCTCTGGATACAGAGTAATTTATCATTTTTCTCTTCAGTAAGTAGCTCTAATAAAAATTAATTAAAGAAAAGTTTCTACTTACAGAGGAAAGCGTCGAAATCATATCAAAATACTAATCTATTTAATTTTTAAATGAAAATCATAGATTTGCTCAATGATGTATAAATTTATTATTAAAGAACGGAGAATGTCCTATGTGTAATAATTGTTCCACTTTAGATATGGGTATTTGTAAGAGACAAGAGGAATAGAGAGGGGGGAGGGGTAAAAGGAGATAGGGAGAGAGAGAGAAAGGAAGAAAGAAGATAGATTTTCCTGTTTTCAATCGTTTAAATGTCTTTAGGAATGGCAACAAATGAATTAGACAGCCATCATCTAAAGTCCCTGGTAACCCCCTAAGTTTGTGTGTTAGTAAAGTGCTTTGTGATCAAAATAAAATGTCCTTTCTACTCTTGCAACCTATAATTACTTATTTTATTGAGAAAGCAGTTATTCTTTGTATTTTAAGGCCCTCTATCTTCCTTAAGAAAAATCCGAATCTAAATAAACCAGGTTTGGAAGCCCCAGATATAAAACAAATAGTTCTCATATGAACAGATTTTTGTTCAATCACTAGGACACAGGAGAACACTGCTTAAAGGGGGGGAAAAAGAGAGAGAAAGAAAAAGAAAAACAAAAGGCCCCTTGTAAGTTCTGTAGCATCATCTTATTACAACAATCAGCAACAGTTTGTCTGCAAGTTGTCAGTGTACTTCAACTATACATAGTAATTTGGATTTGACAACAGATGTAAAAACTGACTTAGTTTTTGCTCATAAACCTGGAGATCTTATGATTTAAAGTTGTATTGTAAGAAAGTCTACCTCTGCAGAAGTTTTCTGCAAAACGATCAACAGTAGTGCTGTTTTACCACAAAACCCTTTGCTTTCTTTAACCTGGTGATGATGATTTCTTGGTTTGTATGCTAATTACATCTGACAAATGTGTACTTTCCTAACAGATATTACCAGACTGGAGACAGAATAAACACTGAAACAACTCACAGGTCTTTAAAAAGTCATATAATCTTGAATATGATTTACATTTCTTTCTTTTTTAACTCAGAAACATTGAATACAGTTTCTTATGCACATATGCAAATAGACATTGTTCTATAATGTACTTCTAAACTGTGATATGAAGGAGGTACACTTACAACCAGAGAAGCTGGCCATCATCATTTAAGGAATCCTCTCTTTGGGGGAATAGGATCCTTCCAACTGTTTGCCTGGGGGGAAGAGCTGAAAGCATCCTCTCTAGAAAACCTGCCAACTTCTACTCCAACCCCCAACCCGGTCCCAGCCCCAGCGTTTCATGCCCCACATTGCCCTCTGCAGATGACACAAAAGGAACGATTCCAGGAAAGTGACATTTGTGTCGTCCTTTTTTTCTTTCTTTTTAAAAATAGGATCCATCGACTTTCCTGTATCATGTAATCGTGTACGGGGAGCTTTGCGTAGCAGGCATGAGCACACGTTCTCTCTCTCTCTCTCTC